TTAAATGCCATACTGTGCAACAAGAAAAGTTATATATTGCACCTTTAACCTTATTCACGGTAAGATTATTGCTGATTTTATTAACTCCAGTTTTCAGCAATGCTTTTCTTTGTATTTTATTTAGTATTTTCGACCTGAAATATTCCACATTTGGGCCCATAGCGTCCCCATTTTATTTCCCCCTGTACTCATGAATATACAGGACTGTATTGTGTCTGCCTGCCTCTGTCCTCTGTTACTCTGTGTTTCATCATGTACTTTGCCTGTGCTACCGTTTTGGTTACACAGCGCCACGCAGCAAGAAGGAGCACCGTGATTGGTCGGCCAAAATTTATAGGCCAACCTGTGCCGAACCAAAAAAGAAAGAAAAAAAAAGAACTTGAAAAAATGCCACGTGGTTGTTTGAAAAGGGAACACCGTGTACACTGCAGACCTCCCAGCAATTTAATGACAAGGTGCATAGTTCAAAACTGTTCTAATCAACTGTCTAATGTGAAAAGTATTAAGTTGAGTCTGTAAACAATGCACAAGAATCAAAACTTCGAGCAAGTACTAATTTGCATTTGTAAAAGTTGCAGCCAAGAACAGAGATGTCACAATATCTTTACGCTTTTGTCCCCATGGAGATTTTTTTTTGCTTGTCTAGAATGTTTTGAAATATGACATTCTTATTATTGGGGTCGCCTCTCCGCAGAGCTGACCTGTAACGTGCCCTGGTGATGTCACCTGCTTAACTCCACAGAGATGGATAAGTAAGGACAAAAAAGTTACAGTGTATCTTAAGTGTTACAAATGTTGTGAGAAGAAACAGCATCATCTTTCAATTATTCATAATTATTGACAGCAAACAGCAGTGAAATTCTATTGTCTAAGTGTGTGATGAAATCAGTTCAGTATTACTTGATTGTTTATGACATAAGGTTAGGTTAAGGTTTACTGACATATATGTTGAACTGAAATGACCTAATGCTGCTTCTAAAATTATCATTGTCTAAAAGTATCATTTTGCAGTTTTCAGTATTATATGTGACCAGGATGTAGGACTGTGCCAAAAATCGATAGATTGCGATCTCTAATTTGGTCGATCTCAGTGATAAGGCATGCGCATTTTAATCGATTTTAATTTTAATTGATTTTAATTTTAATAGCATAGTTAGTCCAAACGTGCTCTACAGGCGCTAAAAATGCGTCTGCCGCAATAAAAATTAAAAGAAATAAATTTTAAAAAAATTAAAAAACTTCGGCATATAACCTGATAGAACCAAGATTCCAAGTGACAGGTTTAAAGCCCATCATGTGGCAGTGAGAGCGCGTGGTGCTGATGAGGATTTGCGCTCTCTTGTTTAGGAAGGAGCATCCTGAGCTACAGCGTGTCCCTTTGTCTCTTCACATGTTCTCAAGTTTTGACTTAAATCTGCACAATTTGACTAAAAATCCGGTCTCCCTCTCCCTCTGCCTCTGATTGTGCGTCTGTCCGTGCGCCTGTGTGTGCGCGGTGTCGTCTGACCGCCCCCCTCCCCCTCCCTCTCTTTGATCCAGCCGCTGGTCCTCACCTTTTCTCCTCTTTCTCTCCTCTGGTGCTTTTCATGTTTATAATCCAAATCATGGAAAGTAAACGACTATTGTCTCACCGTTTATGAAACTTAAATCTCATTTAGCGCACGGACGTCGCACGTGTTTCTACTGATAGCGGTTGCGCGCGTGCACGTGCATCTGCCTAACAGATTATATTGTAAAACTCATTCCAACTTGAAAATGTGAATTTCTCCGGAATTATTGGTCCTATCAACACGAAATAAAAACTAGTGATGACACCCTGCCCATTATCCCTAAACTCCTCATGTCTTTGTTTTTAATAAGATGGAAGAACATCGAATCGAAAACCGAGATCGGTCATTATGGGGGAAAAGGGGAAAATCGTGATTGAATCGTTTTTTTTAATTAATTAATTTATTTTTCCATATCGCCCACCCCTACCAGGAAGTAAGCACATACATACAGGGAAAAAAACACAACAATTTAAAACACATCAGAACTTTTTTTTTTTTTTTTTTTTTTTTTTTTTTTTACTCAACTGTCCAGTGTATTTACAAGGTCAAGCACTGACTGATTTTTTTTTTTTTTTTCAGACTTTTTGTACCATTTGCAAAAAAATATTATGAAGTGAAACCATTTAATAAATAATAATGTTGGATGACAAAATTCAGATGTATAGGTCACATTATATTGTAAGTAGGGCACTATCCCTGCAATATTTTGAAGGTTAAAACTGAAAAATGCATTTCTTATGGTTTATAAACAGCAATAAAACTACATTGCTAATTATAACACATTTTAAAGCTCTTTTAGACACTTCACATTGCATTATAAATGCCTTCCCCAAACACTTAATAACACTATGCACTGGGCATTTTGTTACTTGTTTAGTTTGATTTTACTTTAATGGATAATTGTGATTACTCAGGTCAAAATATAAGTATAAAATGTAGCAAAAATAAGTTATTTCATTTTTTTCAACTTAGTTATCCTTGTATATTCAAGCACTTATGGCTGTTTATGCCGTATTTACTTGTTATTTAGTCATGGTAACTGCGAATAAAATTGTAATTTTTCTTCTCATTATAACACTGAAAATTAGTTTAGCAATTAACAATAAAAAATGGTCAAAGATCCACAAGCTGTTGCCTGTAAACAGGAAGCTCAAACTCACCATGACGATCTACAAATGGAGAAGAAACCTGCTTAACAATACACGCTTTAAAAATTGAATTATGAAATTTTGTTTTTTTGTTGTCAAGTTTTTAATTTTAGGAAGTGACATGCCCTACTTTCCTGACAGCCGCTCTGTGCATCTTAATTCTCAATCTAAAGACATATTAATAGAAAACACATCTGAGGAGGGCACAACGGATCTAACTGAGCTTCTGTTTAAAGCTGTTAACATCTGACGCACAGCGGGACTCGGGGCTGACAGTTCCGCTCAAAAACATTTTAAACGTCTTTACTCACAGAAACAACTGCATTTTCCACATTTTCTGCTGATGATCCGACGCTTTGGATTTGTATATTGTGTGAAACATGCCATTATCTGAATTGGGCAGAGCTGTGAACGTGTACATTAACACTATTTGTGACAGTCACTCTACGTGCTGTACCAAGGAGGAACAAAGCATAGACGGATGTGCTTTGGACTTTTACATGCTTGTATTTTATTTCGTGTAATGAATCTGATCCTTGTAACAAACAAAAATAATTTCAATCCTGAGAGTAGGACCCATAGACTGTGTAAGAGAAGTGGACTAATGGAATGTGACGTCACCTATTGCGTTCGGTTGCAACCAAATGAAGCTCATCGAGGCTGGCAGTTATAGAGGCCAATTCCCAACCAACCATTTATTTGTAAATCTGGATGCGACACCAAAGAGTCAATCAGGAGCGAGGCTGTTGAAGATACATGCCCCTTCTCGCTTGCACCGTTTGTTTTGCGTTGGGCAGGTACTTTGCAACGTGGCTGTCACTCAATCTTTTGCTAAAAAAGGCACCATATTGATCTGTTATGGATGTTCATATCTTAATTTAGAGCCAAAATAATAAAATAAAAACCAGGATCACGTAGAGCAGGTTAGTAAGAACATTTTAAGACCAAAATGACGAGGCTCACAGCAGAGAGAGACAATTTTTTCAAAATAAGTCGATTCCAACTAAAGCTTGGAGGAACTTGGGCTGGGTATCATTAAGAAGTTGCTGATATGCTACATACCTCAATGCATGGGCCACGATATGATGCATATCTCGATACAGTGCACTTACAATTCGATATGATATATTTTAAATCAACTCGATACGGTTCAATAAAAAAATAAAGGCTAAATCGTGGCAGTGACACTAAAATTTTTTGTTAAAACACTTCTTGTGCAAAGTTCATATGAAAGAAAAACATGTTAATCATCAAAGCAGTGAAAATGTCAAATGTGTTGCATAAATGAGTTTTCTTCCACTAAATAAGCAACAAAACTGTAGCTCTGTAACAAAATCATTTTGTAAAATATACCAAAAAAAATACTCTTGACGATATATCGATAGAGCAGCCCATGATATTGATATTTTATCATCACATTAAAGGACACAATATATCGATATTTTGATATTTTTGCACAGCCCTAGAAGGAACGACTTCACACTGCTGCTCACTTCCTATTTGAAACGTGACTGCTAGCACATAAACAAATATATTATTAGCAGTAGTAGTCATATAGGTTATTGTTGTAGTAATATCAGCCTTTTTTTATGTAACTTAAGTAATATGTTTTTACAGTGGTTTCATCAAGTTCAAATTTTTTCGATGAGACAGGTAGACAAGTGCCTAAACTGCAGATTTCAATTTCACTTGCGCTCTATTTTCATACCAACCTCACTTGTCAATGCTCAGTCTTGTTTAAGCAGGGGTGGGTCTGGTTAGTACTTATGTAGATGGGAGACTGCTGGGAATATTAGGTACCACCTGGGGCAGCAGTGACGCAAGTGCATACTGTTGTTTTGTCCCTAGGCAAGATGCTTCAACCACCTTGCCTGTGTATAAATGCGATGTGTGTGATGGTGGCAATCGGAGGGGCTGATGATACAGATTGGCAGCCTTGCTCCCATCAATTGGCCCCAGGGTAGCTATGGCCACATTAGTAGCTTACCACCACTGAGAATAGAATGAGTGAATAATGCAATGTATTACTTAAATTTAATTCTGCTGTTGTGTCATTGGGCAAGCTATCTCGTCTCAGTTGTGTGTGACACGTTGTTGTTTGAATGTATTGATCTGACAGTGTTAATGGCTGTAGGTGCAAAATCGTAGCCACTAATGTCTTCAGTATTGCAAATGAATTGATCTAAACTCTTAACAAGTGCTATGAGAATCTGTTATTTATTGACTTGTGTTGTTGTTGATTTATAGTAAGTGTTTACATAAGTCCTGTGAATTTGACTTCCCATTTCTCTTCCTGTTGCTCAGGTCGCAGAGAGGTGATTGGTGCAGGACAGTCATGTGACAAGGCCTTTTGAGCCTTTTTCACTCTCACTGTCAGGTACATTTTCAACTCTATGCATTTTACTCAGCTAACCCTGCACATTAAGACCATACTGGCATTTAACTGTCTATTTTTTATTCATTAATTATTATGTGTTTTTGTGTGTTTTGTATGTGAACTATCATACTTTCCATATGATTTTAATATGCATTTTTAATAATGCTATGTCTGTGAATATGAGCAAAATATAAACCTGTAGTTTATTTAATATAATAAATTGAAAGTGATACATTTTGTATATTTCCTATATTATAAATGTACACCAAAATCACAGTAGTTGTAGCCAAAGCTGGTATCAACTTTTACAAGCGCTTACCCTAACTGTATTTCTGATATTTCTATTTTACTTTTTTCCAGTGTAGAAGTTGTTGAAGTTGCACTGTGACCTGCCTCCCTCCAGCTGCGGGCGATGCCTCAGGTAAAAATGTAAAAAAACATCTCAGCACTTTATAAGGTTTAAAAATACAGTAGAGTTCTGAATCATGACAGGATTAGTATGTATATTCAGTAGGTAAAATACAATAAAAATGCCCCAAAACAGTTCATTAATTAAAAAATTATAGCAGAACTTAGTAACTTAGCCCACAAAATATTAAAAAGAACGCATTTTGTACATGTTGTAAGAGTAGACTCGAAGCTGCTGTGGGAAGTTAATTACATATAATAATATACTGTGTGATCAAATGTATCATAAAACAGGTCCGACAGGTGAAATATAATTAACTAGCCACCTACACATGATTTGCATATTTATGTAACCAAATTATAGATACAAGTTAGTATGGAGACTGATGCTTGGCAAGACTTTTGTTCTTGCCAACAATCTTTAGTTCTTTAGTTCTTCTTTATATGTCTTTTGTTATTCTGTTTATGTAATGTGTGTTCATACTTGTCCTTGTTTGGTCATGGTTTAATCCAGCTGTACTCTCAATGTAGACTTGTTTTGGTCATGTTCTAGAGCAGCTTTAGGTCATTTTCACACCTCTGCTAGTTAGGTCAGTGTAAAAGAGAATTCGATCTGAGAGCGCTATGCTTGGACCAGTGTGAACATGACAGTTGCATTCTGGACCGGATTAAATGGCCGCTATGGGAGTTCTTGAAACAGGTGGTCTCAGAGTAGCTCCCCTCACATGGTGGTGTGAATGCAGTCGACCTTGGGCTGACTTACTGTCACTGAGCAGTAAAATGTAAAAAAGTAGTAAAAGTAAAAAGTGCTTAGAATTGAATCATGTATGTATGGGCACTGCACAGTGTTCCATTTGCAGTTCGTATCTGACGAGGCAAACTGAATCAGCTTAATATCTGTCACACTACTCCTGCCTGTTTATGCAGGTAAGCCTCTGTCTGTCTGTGCTGCTCAGAATATTTTTTCTCTTCCCCCACAACAGGGCATCACCATCATGAAGTGTTTAGTATTAACTTGAAGTGCGTTGTCAAGGGGATAAGTTTGGTGGTCAGCTGATGGCCTCTCACATGGCTCATAAAGTAAACAGACCTAAATCCAATACATATTGGAGTCGCTCCACAGAGCACATTAACATGTGAAACCGACTGCAGTCCCCAATTTTGAAGTTTAAATGTTCCTCTGTGTGTGTAAACCATAGACAAGCTATCACGTTCCAAATAGGAAGTAAGCATGAGCGTGATTCAGGTCCGCTGACTCTTCTCATTTCATAATTTTTTCCCTAAATCAAGATGAGCATTAATAACGGACCAGTCAGATGCCTTCCCTCCCCAAGTCACTCCTGCTAGTGTTAGTAACAGGTTTGATTGACAGCACTGCTAAGCTCCCTGTTGTTCAAGCAAGTAGCTTTCCTGTTAGCCTCTATAACTACTAGCCTCGATTCTCTTCATTTAGGTGGAGCCAAACACTCCCACAGTCCACTTCTATATTAGGTCTATGTTATAAACACGTGTATTTCTGTTTCCATAATAAAAAGACAGACTGGACATATATATTGACTTTTGTCCCTCATGTATTCTGGTCAGCCGGGTCTGAGTGGGATGGAGCCCGTTTTCGGGGAGGCTTATGGGGGGCACAGGTCCCTGCTCAGTCCATACCCTCTGGCCATGTCCCCCCACGGAGGACGCACCGACTACGACCAGGTAAGACCCCAGAAACTCAGATAAACTTTTAAAATTATACTTTTTTTTTTACCCATCTCCATTTCATATATGAAAACACATTTTACAACTGCATTATTAACAACATAGTTAAGATCTTTTGTACCAAAGCAAACAAAGTATGACTTCAAACTCAAAATCATATCAGACCTCCAAACCAGTTTATTATCAGCTTTTTATCTGATCTTTAATCTTTAGACCCCAGTCTAGACCTAACCTTGGCTCAAGCCAGACTGATATGTGTAGCACTCATACACACTCTACATAATTCTGATGTTTTATGTTTTTTTCTTTGGTGAGTAGTGACACAAAAGTAAAATAATGCTAACAATACATTTAGCACTCATGTCTGTTCTATGTCGTCCCCAGACTGTGCTGCTGATGTTGGGCTCCCCGGCGTCTCCACGGAAACGGCCTTTTGAGTTGCTAAGCGATCTGGTGGATGATGGGGGATTTGGGGAGGACCTGCAGCCTGAGCGATGGGACGTGTCTGCGCTGGACGAAATGACACGCTTCACCAAACCTGGGCTGGGTGTGGGGACGGAACTACTCACCTGCACAGAGGTAAGGGGGGGTGCAATTAAAGGCCTGATTTGGTCTGTCTTAACAATGTGAAAAACAGAATTAGTTTATTTTAAATACTTTGTTCCATAAATCAAGTAAGGCTGGTGCGCTGTTTGCTTCCTATTTATTGTTAGCATTATAGTGATGGGCCCTGCAAGTTGTGAAAAACTCTCAAAAACTCACTGTAATAAAAAAATCACTGTGAATTATTAGAATGCTCAGAATACATAAAGAAAGTCAGGAATAAGTTCAGTTTAAAATGAACTACTTCTGACTATATAGATATATGGCAACAGTTTTAACCAGTACCAATAAATTTAATTTAAGCAATAAAAAGATGCAATGTACATTTATTAAATACTTGCTGATTTTTGTATTCCCAGGTTTTCTCAGAGCAGGCTGTTCTGATTGGTCGACTGGGCAGGAGTCGAGAGGAACAGGAAGAGGAAGAGCAGAGAAAGAGAGCTGCTACAAAATCTGTCACAACCCCTCCCACCATTATGTCCCAGAATGTCCCAAACAACACCACAGCTACTGCGAAGGAAACCTGCGCTACCACATCCTCAACAACAGAGGGGCAGCTAAACGTACCAAATGTAAGAGTTAGAGGGTCAGTGGGCGGCATGCATTTGTTTTCTTGTTTTGTAAAATCTAACTGATAGTTGATATTATGTCAAATAGTATTATTAAGTGGAAAAACATGCAATTAACAGACTCAGAGTCATTTTATTTCATTTCTTGTGATTCTTTTAATGTTTTAAGACAGCAGTATTTCTGTGCACAAGAGTTCACCTCCCTGTTCTTCTTTTTCAGGCAAGAAAAGAGTTCATGAATGCCAATAGTCATAAGTAGGCTTCAAGTACAAATCTTGTACGAAATCTGCAGTATAGTAAATCCATGTAGCGTCATAATGGAGGAACAAAGCTTTTTGTTAAAACACACTGTACACTGAGTTTGGAATAGTGTTATATATGCATGTATCATAGCAAAAGAAAAATTCTAATCTAAATTCTAAACTGGACAAAAGTTTTACAGTGAAGACATTTTGCCGCTCATCCCAATGACTCTAAAACTTTTGTCCAGTTGACAGATTTTCATTTTTCTTTTGTTATGGATTATACCTGGACGATTACACAGATATATATGTATCAGATAAAATAACATAATTCTTATTATAAAATATTTATTATAAATTATAACAAAAAAAGGCACAAAAAAACAAACTCTTACAATTTCTAGTCTACTTTAGCCTTATTATAGGAGAAGCTTAAAATTGTTTAAGGAAAAATAAGTTTAAGTGTAAATTATTACTCTGAGCTGTTTCCATTTATTCACTTTTTAGGAGAGAATGGGACAGGAGCAGCTGGTCCGATCCGTGGAGGTCTATCAAGTGGCACAGGAGGAGGAACTGACTTTGGAGCACAATTATTCGTTAAGCCAAGGAGGAGATGGAGAGATGGGGGCCAGCCTGGAGGAGGTGCCCCCTGAAGAGAGGAGAGGAGAGGAGGGGACTGAAACAGAGGAGATGGACAGGAGAGAGACAGAGACAGAGGAGGAGAGAAGGGAGGAAGAGGAGGAAGAAGAGGAGGAAGAGGAGGGAGGAGAGGAGACTGCAGCAGAGGCAGAACTGACCAGCTCGTCTGAGAGTGAATGTGGTGAGTGTATTACGCACTGATTAATTTGAACTAGTGTTGCCACTATACATTATTACATTTCAAACTCAATTTCAATAATGACAAATAGGCGTTATACTCAGTACAGATTCTGATACTATGATGATAATAAAAAAAATAAAAAATTGTTTATTTAGACAATAGAATGTAATTTTCATTAATAAATCATAATATTAAATCATAAATCATTATATTACCATGTGGTGTTATATCTGTTATATCTGTTATATCGGTGTCTAGATTCCATAGTGGTCCATGGGCGTATAGTAGTCTATGTGCTCTTATAGTTGTTATGACACAGCTCAAGATCATTCTAAACCTATTCAGGAAAAGAAAGACATTTCTGTCTGGTTGGTGTGTGCCTTGTTTGTATCAATACTTGTGTCATTGTGAAACTTTGAGAGTCTGCACTGCTGATTGGATTTGGACTCACGGTTTGTTTATGCTGAATGATCTCACATGCTCATTAAATGTGTCCTTCTGCAACCCAGGGGTTAGATGAGTGTCTCAACTGAAGGCAGTGCTCGGATGTGAATGGTCCACTGTGACCTTATGATTGACAGGGTGAGCAGCAGCGGTTTGTATTGGACACAAGAAACAGGCTTAAATGTTTAATGGACTACAGTTTATTCAATACCATATGTGTAGGGTTACTTACACTTTGCTAATCAAGTGGTATGGCATAAAATATGCAGGATAATTTTATTGATTTATAGACTTATGTCAAGATGAATGTGCAAAACACTCAGGCTATTTCTACAGCTTTGTCACTGAAGTTAAAGTGCTGTTCATCTCTTATTTAATGTTTTACAATATGTATAAATTGATAATTTGGTGCATTTTAATTAAGAAAATAATGTGGAAAAACCAAATGCGTTCATTTTAATAATAGAAGAGATCAAGAGGCTGAGGCTGCTTTTACTTTTTCTGCTGCGGTGGAGATGGGGCTGAGGAGGGTATTTACCGAAATGGCTGGATGATGGAGAATATAAAGAATGCTTTATTTCCTTTATACGAATGACTTGATTGGTTGTGAGGCTGACAGTATGGATGGGTCATTGGTGATATTGGAGGGTTTTAGTATCTGCCCAGTATTGAAAACTTTGCCTTTATTTGGCACCAATTTTTTTTTTGCACTGTTCAAGTCTGTGTGTGCCCATGTGTTATACTCAGTTGGTCTCAGTGCATCAGATTTGTCTTTTTGAACAGACTAATGAGTAAAAATATGGCTGTATGTAAACAATTATGTAACAAATTATTTTATAGTCCAGATCAATACATTTTGTTTTGAACTTCACTATAACATAATATAAATTTACTATGGATTTTAAAATCCTTAATTACGCTAATGGCACAATGGCCACAACAGCAAGACAAATATCTTTATCGGCTCGAAAAATCTTAAGGAAATGCAGTCTGTATGATAATTTCTGACACCAAAATGTAAAGAAACTCCATACAGAATAATGAGACCCAGATTTTCTTTCTTCATACCATAAATAGACTCCAATCTGTTGTTAAATACACATATTACTCTCAGATGAAATACCTGTGTTTATTGAATTGTTGACGTATAATAATAATCATTTCTTTGTTCTTTGCGATTTTATGGATTTTTAATGCGGTGCGTCTCATTCTTTCCACTGCAGAATGAGATCAGCATGATGAAGTATAGGCCTAATATCAGAGCAGTTAAAACCCTGTTATTATCCCCAATGGTAATGTACTTTGTGTGGGTTATAGACATCATCAATATCCGGCGGCAGTGGTACCATTGTTCTAAAGATTTCCACGTCTACACAGAAAGGAAGAACAATATTTCAGCCAAAAACGATGAAATGGCAACAAGAAGAGATAAATAAAAAGGAGAGGAGATGTCAACAATTTTATAAACACTGGTATTTCTTATAGTAACATGTATAGGGCCACTCAATTAGGCAAAAAACATGATGATTATTTGGTTCATAATTGAAATAACTGTTATTTCAAATAGTTACTTCTAATTAAAGGCCCCATATGATGCTATTTTCTGATTTATGTTAGAATGTTGTTTCCTCATCAAAACATACCTGGAGTTGTGTTTTGTTTTATTCACACAGGTTTAACACACAAAGCCTGCATATTTAGGCTTCTCTCAAAATGAAGATACTCTGTTCAGTTCCATCTTGTGATGTCAGGTGGTAATGCAGGAAGTGCTCCACTGTGTTTTTAAACTCCATACACCTTCACTAGAACTGCATACTAACATGGCTTAAAGCTCACAAGAGTCAGTTTGGTGTAATGTAGCACCTTTAATCTGTAGAGAAAATGTAGAGATAATATATTAATTAGTAATAATTTGTACGCTTTTGTGACATTTTCATTTATTAGATGAGCAGCTTTCTTCCAGGTTTAGCAGGGTAGAACAGGGACACATTTCATTCTCAACAGGAGGTAATGATTATATTTTTGATTGCAATATTTTTTGTTATTGAATAGAGCAATAATTGAAATCAAAATTGTAATCTGATTCACTGTGCAGCACTAGTTTCGAGTCTACACAGAAAAGAAGTTCTCTTTCAGAATACAATAATTAAAACGTGTAGAAATTGTCTGGATCATTATTTATTCAATGAAAGCATCAAGGGCCACTGTTTCTATTGAATTTATTATAAACTACACGTGAGCAAAACAAATCAACTGATACTACCTCCATACTACTACTATATATATATATATTACAGCAACTGCTGCTGCTGGTACTAATACTATTGCTACTACTATCACTACTACTACTACTACTACTACTACTACTTGTATAACTGCTTCTAAAAAGTTATTTTAGTTGAATTTAGGGTTGATTAATTACAATTGCAATTTGAGTTAGCACAATTATCAACTCACAAAGGCTCCAATTATTTAGACAGTATAATATATGGTTCTGTCTGTTTTATAGATAAAAGCTTAAGCCTTTAGTTTAGACCTCCACAAAAATGTTCAGAAATTCATGTGGTTCTTGTATTAGTTTATCAGTTTTCACATTTCAGTCTTCTCTCAAGTGTTAATCCTCCCCAAGCTGTTTACAATGTGCGCTCAGACACAGAATCCTTAAAAAAATAAGTTACAAAGTGTAATTATTATACTTCAGTAACTGTCCTAAAATGGTGCAGCCCTGTAGTTGAATTCTGGTGGCAGTCTTAAGTTTGTTTATAAAGAGGACATGTGCCTAATTGTTCTCAAACCACCACACATCAGCTCTGTCTGCCCACACGGAAACCATCAGGCCGGTCTCTCGTCCAGACATGACCTAAGACTTGGACTTGGAATAAACCAGGACCCTGATGGGCTCATGTTAAACAGACCAGGGTTGAGGGTGTGATTCCCATGACATATGCTTTAAGTAATTTGTGGATTCATATGTGTATATAAATGTAGAATAAACTGATGAGCAGATTGGTTAGCGGCAAGTAAAGTAAATTTGTGTAATGTCAGTGCAAGTTGAGTGAGTTTGACCATTTGCTATAGACCTGGTTTAGTTCTGCTTTAGATATAATTTTAGTGTAGCTCTTGTGGGGTATTCCCGTTGTGTGTAGTTTAGTCCTGGTTCAGTGCAGGGTTAGTCCTAATTTTAGTCTTGTTTAAGATCTGGTTTAGTCCTGTGTAGGTTTAGTCATGGGTTAGACTAGCTTGATTCAATAGGTTTCCACAAAATGATTCTGGCTGATCTGACCTCGCAGCATTAGGATTCATGCACTCCCCGGTAGGTGGGTACTTTTTTTAATTTAACCAATCACTGCTATTTTGTCATGATGTATGTAATGCGCCACTAACAGGGCTAACTGGTATATTAAGCTTTTCCCAAATCCTGCAGGAAGAAGGGCAATAACGTCTTTCCTCTTGATAAAACTCACCAAACATTCTCTTTCTTCCGACTTTAAATCCTTGATCTCTGGAATTTTTACCAACACAGAATGTATGGCTTTGTCTACATCCATCTTGACTGCTTTGTTTACTGTTGTGCTGTACCACAAAAATGACCCAGTCATGACTTCACAGCTCTTCACTGACTGGCCTTTGCGTAGTTTACAACCCTCGGGGGTTCTTGCAAACTGTCTAGTGTATTCCGATTCCTGACATAGTCGCTGGAGAGAAATTAAATTGAGCAGAGTCACTTGGTGGCGCGAGCCTGGCTAGGGTTAGACCTGGTTTAGTCCTGGTTAGTCTGATTTAATTCTGTTTAGATCTGTTTAGGTTTCATCCTGGGTTACACCTGATTTAGTCAATAGTGTTAAATAAAGGCGCATTAGAGGTGTTTTTAAAATAGACCTGGTTTAGACTCGGTTTAGTTCCATGTTTCGCTTTTGCAGCTTGTATGGGATATTCCTTTTAACACTGTTCAAAGAATGGTGGTGCACCGTCCACCATATCTCGCTCTGACCCCATTACAATCTATATTTGTTTTGGCCCTTGCCAGTAAAAGAATGTTTAGATTGGAAGAAAACTTGGCATTGTAAGTATTTTCCTAGAAAGATTCTGTTGTGTCCATTGCTTATATTATGGTAAATCAGAAAAAAAACACACTAGCATATTTTGCATCTGGTTTCCCCTGAGTCATTCTGGGGCCACTTACGTATTCAGGAAATGAGCAAAAATAGTGCACCGCCAACAAATAAGGTCTCAAGGGTGTCTGGACGGTCCACAAAAGTCTATTAAATTCACATTTCAGTTTAATGTTAATCAATCTACTGTAGAAGTGGGCGGCAGTGGAAATGTATCGTAATGATTTAATGATTTTTTGTTTGTTGTTTTGTTAGTTGTCAATAAGTGGTGGATATTGGAAGAGTGTAGCATGTGTTACCTGCATTGGTGACTATCCAGCAGCGAATGATAGGAACGTGAATGGTTGCCAATGGTACTTCTAAAACTGCTGTTAATTATTTCATGTTTTATTGTATTGTATTTTCTCTTCACTGCATTTGGCACAGTGAGGCTTTTCTGTTCCAGTATTGCTTGAGACTACTGCTACTAGAACTTCTACTACTTAGGGGTGTGCAAAAATACTGAAATATCGATATGTCATGTTAGTACATTTGGTGATACCGTATTGTTATCATGGGCTGCTGTATCGATATAATTGTGTTGCTTATTTACTAGAAGGGAACTTATTTATGCAATACACTTGACATATTCACTGTTTTGATGATTAAAATTGATTAAAATATTAACTTTACACATGTTGTGTAACAAAGTGATATTATTGCTAAAATGTATTTGGTTCTTAAAAACAGCAATATATCAGAGTATCATGTGCAGTATATGATTTATCACACCCTGTTGGCATAACGTGAGCCATGTATTGTGTATCCTATCGAATCGTGAGGGACCCTGTGATTCTCAGCCCTACTACCACTACTACCTTTGCTACACTATTTACTACTTCTGTTACAGCTGCTACTATGCAACTACTACTAACATTATCACTACTACTACTAGAGGTGTAACAATATCCAAATCTCATGATACAATATTGTAACGGTATGTACCTCACAGTACGATATTTATTGCAATATCGTGGAGAAGCTCACGATATGGTGGGGAGACTCACGCAGGTAACAATATCCAAATCTCTCGATACAATATTTTCACGATATACATCCCACAGTATGATATTTATTGCGATATTTTGTGGAGGCAAACAAAACTGTGAATATGCTACTTTCTTAATCCGAAGAACTAAGACTTAAAAGTGCTTAGAACAGTTATTTCTATTATTTGTTATAATCTACACTGAAATGGAGCAAAGCGTCATGGTCTATGTAGTTCCCTCTGTCTTTTTTTTAGCTAAGCTGCACCATACCTCTTAATTTAAACAACGAGACTTGTAATTTGATATGTGGTGAGGGTCCACGATATTATTGTGAGAACTTTGATGATACAATATCATGATATTTCGGTTATTGTTATCCCTAACTACTAGGGCTCCAAAGATCACAATCAAATTGAAATAGCAATTTTAATGGATACAGTTGGCAAATCCTGCAATTTATGTAGCTTCATATTTTTGTTTTTTCATGAATTCTTCTGGACATGTTTAATAAAAAATGTGACATTTTAACAGTAATCGCAGATATAACTGCAATTGCAATGTTTGTCAGAAAAATTGCAATTCATTATTTTTCTGCCATAACTACTGCTGCTGCGACTGCTACTACAATCACTTCAGGTGGTTCTTCACACAATCACAATTTTACTCTTATATATTCCTTTAATCTCAAATAAATAGCTGCATATTATACATTAAAATAGCCCTTGCTCTTTTACTCTTTGAAGCCCCTTGTTGCCCCGGAAACTTAGCCCTCTCCTCTGATAATGATCTTTCCCATGAATCGTGTCTGAGGCGCTTGTTCAGTCCGAGGTAACAGAGAGGTCCCTGGACCCAAGTCAAACTCATGTTTGGTTTAAGTTACATCCGCTGCAAAACTCCACTGTCCCCCTGCTTTTAAACTGAGACAATGAGAGAGGGACAGGCGTTGGGCCATACACCAGAGTTAAAAAATCTGAACTTTCGGCAAAATTCACCACGTGTCAGTGAGTTTCAAGCATCTCTCAAATGCAAAAGTGTCCAACTAGAGGCATTTGGTACCATTCTGATGCCAAGAAGTGAACTAAGAGATTGTGATGTCACCTGTAAAGTTTGGCTCCAGTAAAATGAAGCTCACATGGTTAGCAGTTATAGGAGTAAATTTGGAGCAAGTTCCATATTAGGAATAGGAATTTATTCATGGACCAATTGTGAACACCAGGATCACATAGAACAGATTAATACAAGCATATTAAGATCAAAAAGATGAGGATTACTGCAGCAGTTACAGAGGGAGAGGTCAATTGGAAACAGGGTTGATGGAGCTGGAAGCACCCCCATGTTGATTTCCTAACTGGAACATGGCAGCTAGCAGGTTAGTTATGTCCATTTATATGTACAGTCTATGGTCTGAACCCAGCATAACTCCAAAAATATAATTTGGAGACTTTTGGTGCTGCAAAATCACATTTGTTATTAATTACTATATGTTTATTGTTAGAATAAATAAATAAATAGTATGCTATAAATGTATACTCAATTATATATGGTAAATCGTCACGTTTTTATATAACTCTTTTCCACCTTCAAGGCACTCAAAGCTCTTTAACAACAACAAAAGTTAAAGTTAGCCCGAATTAAGTGTTTTAGCTTCAGTTCTTGTTCCCAAAAGCAGCAGACAATATGGTGTCAGTGGACCAGTCTAAACCTGTTACATAAGGCTTAAAGCTTTGACGTCTCTGTGTATTTCGCACTGATGTAACTGCTGCTGATAGAGTCTGCATTATTTATTATCATGCTATTATTTCGGATTATGCACACCACGACCTAATCTCACCCTGGTCTATGGGGGTTTCATATGGTTACTGCTTTACACTCATACCATTATGTCATTTGAGTTCATACTTTTCATGCAACAAAATCTGATTAAAATTTGATCTTTTACACTTTTTAGTGTCTGACCTATCACAATTGAGTGTGTATGCATATTTTAGATATATACCCACCTGTGCATACGCACACACAAAAAATAATGAACATGGTACACTGTTAGAGGTTTGCCGTAAAACAGGTATATCGTAGATAATTATAGATAGTATAGATATAATTTTACTTATTATACTTCCAAAATGTGTTTTGTGTTGGCCTGAAAATATCAACAGACCTTATTCTGCATTAGAACTAGATATTTGTATATAATTCAATTGTTATAATGCTGTTACCTCCTCAAAAACAAATTTAGTTTAGTTTCATTTACACATGTTTGTGTAATCCTTTTATTATTAGTCTATCTAAATTTCCAAAGCTCAAAAAGCTCTGTTAAACCTTGTTATGTCATGAACAGGTAGTTTTCAAGTCAAGAGCTACCTTTACCTTTATCAGCAATTTCAGGACTGAAATCATCTACATGATTCTAATGAAGGTGTCTGGAGTGTTTTCTGTTCTGATCAAAGATCTCTGTCTAAACATGCAGGATTTGTGTGTTAAACAAGTGTGAACGAAACAAAACACAACTCCAGGTATGTTTCTAATGAGGAAACAGAGTTATATTTGTATATAACACATTTTATAACGGCTGTAGACACTTAGTTGTAGAAACAAAAATCATCCTCACTCTCCTCAACGTCACTCAGAGATGAGAATCTAGGACATTTGTGATGGTGATTAAAAATTTAAAACAAACGCGATATCTTTTGAATGGGAAAAAGTCATCAAAATATTGCACATAACAGGAAGCTGAAACCCATGAATTAATTTTTGTCGCCCACTCGTAAACCGAGTACATGTACCTCTCCCAAATCTCCTCAGACATTTTGTGGTCCCTCTGCGTTCTCCATCCCTCCGTTCAGAGTTAGTTGCACATTTGTTGACACCTCATCCTCGTCTCCTCCCATCTGTGCTGCTCAGTCTGAAACACGTGATTTCTGCGTTAATTAAGTTTCACGACCAAATCCACACTCACGCGGTTCAACAGTTCAAGCTGTCACCAAATCTAGTGCCTCTATATCTCTGGATAAACTTCCTAAAACTGAAATAATCTTTTTTGGTTTGGTGAGGTCTTTATTGTAAAACATCTCTCGAAATGTACAAGTTGTGGACTGCAGCCAAATTGCACCAATTTGTATCTATAAAATCAGTTAGCTTCATAAACCTGATCCAATGTGCAGTCATTTCATTAGTGGATGCACGCTGATTGTGTTGTGATAGCGCTCTGAAAGGGGAGTAACTAAGCTCAGGAAGTAAAGGGAGGGGGGTATTCAGGGTGACAAAAACAAAACTAAAACTAATTAAACATGAAAAGATGTTTTATAATTGGTACAAAAATGTATTTTATTATGTTTTAATTACACAAAATAAAAACAAAACAATAAATAAATACATTTGATCAAAAGATCTGTACTGGAGCAAAAAAAAAAAAAAAATCTTTCTTAAAAAAAACATTAAATGTAATTCAAATAATGAAATGAGGCAGGATCAGAATCTCCCACATAATGAATTATAGTTTTTTTTTCTCATCTCAATGTTTGTGTTCTATTTTTCTTGTAGAGGTGGAGACCGAGCCTGTGCGTCCGACCTGGAGAGCGTCCCTCAAAGCGCCGCTGCTTCTGGGAGTACAGACGATCGCGAGACTCCTCCTCCAAAAAGAAACCAGGATCTGAGGGTCACTGGTCTCTGTCCTGGAGCTCCAGCACTCTGCCCAGCACATTGTACCGACCGGAGGGTAAGAGCTGCCCGCAATGCCCCCTGTGCTACTTTTACAAAAACATTATGGTCTGGAATCATATCTTGTCCCACCGCTTTCCAATGATCGTGACTTATAGGCAGATTAGCCAATAAGAAAACAGGAGCCTCTAATGGATATGTGAAGGTGCCCCTGAGAAAAACACCCTTTGGGCAGTCCGCATTCTCTGTCCAGGGTGCTAATCTCTGGAACTCTTTAAGCTAGAGTGGTTTTAAACATGAACTTAAATGGGTCTTAAAGAGTTGTCAGATGTGTAATTAGTGATAAACCATCAATGAGGAACTCCATTTGCCTTTATATAGTGGCAAATTATAATGTGAAGCCTGTGTGTTTTTTGCTTTTCTGTAAATGCCCTTCTAAGGATGGATATTGCAATTTAGCCTTGGCTATAAATGTTGTAGGATGTTACACGACTAATCTAACATACTACATACTACTTGTCCCTATTAAATAAATTAAAAATAAAGAAACACATGGTCCATTCGTGTCAAAACAAACATGTGGTTTATTAGTAAAAAAAGTAAAAAATAAAAAAAACACACACACAGAGGACTGAGAAACAGATCTTCTTCATTTCAGGTGAAAGTAGTTATATTTTGTTGTGAATGATGTGAGAATACTGGAGAGGAGATGACTTCACCATTTGAGAGACAAGTGCCAATAGCAAAGTAGTGGCTATAATTGGCATGTCCCAAAATTAGACTGCTGTTTGACCCGCTTCATGGTGCAGTAGGAGGGACTGACTCTGCAGGCAATGTGTTATATATGAAAGCCCACAACATTTTATGATAGATTTGTTTGGTGCAGCAGAGGAGATAAGAAGCTGTTGTTTCTACTACTGCGGTGGAGTTGGTCCGAGAATAGTGACATAGTGCACCGTTAAGTGAAGAATTAAATAAAACACGTTGTCACTGTGTCATTGTGAGATACTTCGCTCACATTTCCCACTTTAGCCACAGTATAAATGTGTCTATTAGTTCAGAAAGGCATCTGCCATAAAACTATGATTCACTGACAACCCTGATTTCAGTATAGAAATAAGCAAAAAGAAAAATGTACTCCCGCCCACTCTCTTCTCACACGCACATGTATAAGGCTAATTGTAGGGTCTCCCCGTCCCCCGGCCCTGGATTAAATCTGAGTAATTGTGTATAATTTGGTGTGAGAGCCCTCCACTCCTCAGCACCAGTGATTATGTCCTACTCACTGACAGCAGATGTCTTTGGCCCAGATCTGGCCTGTGTCACAGGCAGCTGACCCTCAGGCGTTGCCCTACATTCAGCCATACATCAAATCTCAATCAAATCCAGACTGGATCCTATTTTGGAGAAGCTGTAGCTGAGAGACAAAGAAATGGTGCCCTATATAGGCTATGGGAAATAGACAAGATATTTTTTTGGCAGTTTGCAAGCATAGAATTTAGTTTTTTCGTATAGAATTTTTGGGTTAATACTTGGATAAGCGACCACTGGGAATACCAGGTGTCACATTGGGGCACCAGTGTCAAAATTGTCATTGTGTCCTTAGACAAGATACTTCACCAACATTACAAAGTATGATTGTGGTGTGAGTGTTGGTGAAGGGAGAGCGGTGGGGTACAATAGAAGATTAGGAATGAATAATGAGTACTGTATTATTTATCATCCCAGGTAAGAAAGGCCGCCGTAAAGCCCGTAAAACCGATGCTAGTGACCTGACTCCAAACCCTCAGAAGCTGCATAACATCGGGGAGCAGCTCCAGAAACTGAACGCTGCAATTGACGGGATGGGCCCCGTGAATGATCTGCCCGCCGTGGCCCGGGCACGCTCCAGGAAGGAGAAGAACAAACTCGCATCCAGGTAATACATTCATTATTTACTTATATTGTTTCATTGTGACGTATTGGGCTACACCGGAGACAAGCTCTAATGTGAGGTTGTGCATTTCTGTGTCTGTCAAGTAAAGACATATCCTGTCCAGTCAATTAGTCAGCTAAAGAGAGGGTGTGGCAAAAGCTCTCAATACTATTATGTATCTCTGTGTATCTGACTCAAGCTGTGCTCACAAGACTTTCACATTTGTTCTAGAAAAAGTACTAGGAACAAATGTATTTATATAAAGACCAATTCAGCTTGCAAATCTTGAGTGCAAACTGCCTATATATATATATAAAAAATATATACATATATATATATATTATATTTTTTTTTTTTTATTGGTTGAGTAAAACATGACTACAGGACTACAGCCCAAGTGGACACAGATAGGGCAAGTTTAAAATGTAAAGCTTTTAATTCAAATAGTACATTTACAGCTTGAACCAGTTTGTACAGTTACTGTGTTTTTGGCAAAACACTTTAGTTGTTGTATCTCTGGCAAAACACTTCATCTTCTTTTTCATTCCAGGCTCCTTTGTCTCTGTCCCAGAATATATTGAAAGACTTCAGTAAGAAGCAATTGTTACATTTAAGTTCTCTATGTTTACTAAACCTTTTAGTGTCTAAATGTCATACAAAGTTTAGTTACCTCCAAAGGTTCATGAGACAAACTTCTGTATTTTTCCTTTTGCAATAAACAGCTTTGAGTTTACATAATGTTAGAATGAAAAATCTACACTGCCATCCGTGGGGATTTGGGCTTCATTTTTAAAAGTGAGTGAATGCTATGGAGGATTCGCATGTTTAAAATATGCATACATACTTGTCACGCTTGTCAAGTTGTTTTTCTGCAGTAAATTTAGTGGCTGATTTGTTCCCATGGGAAAAACACAGAGCTTAATGCATGCAGGAAAACATACATTTTAGTGTAATGGTTAAAACATGGGGAGTGAGTCTAAACACATCCATAAATAAGATCCTATAGACGTTGTTGACTCTTTAGGCTTATTATGTAGGGCTGTATTTCTTTTTGGCCTGGGGAGAATTTATAATATGAATGAAATATTGTTAGAAACCGCAATGTCTATTTTTGTAAACCATACTCAACCTTTGTCTTAAGCTGGTTTATACTGTGCAGCTGTTTGTATCTTGTTCTCAGGGTATACTTTATGCTTTAGGAGTTGCACAAAAAATCTGTAGTAACAGTTAAGTAGTAATAGTTTCTGTAAATGTACCAAGTTGTCTGATACTCATGTGTTATAGACCCAGATCATTAAAATACATATTCAAATAATTCAACTTTTTTTTTTTTATCTGGTCAAATTAGTATCTAGTTTTTATATTATTTTAGTATCTACATTTCTTCTTCTTTTTTTTTTTTTGACAACTGTAGCTGGTACTGCCATTGCAATTTGTTGTGTCCATGGGCAAGACACTTAACTGTATACATATGCTTGTGTGTCTGTTATTGGTGGTGGTTAGAGATTGCAAAATTGGCATTTGTGCTTCTGGCAACAGACTTGACTATTAACGAATGAGGAGTGAATGAATAATGCAACACGCTGTACACCGTGTGTCAGGACGTATTAAAGTAATGTATATGTATTATTAATCCAGTAAGAGATTCATGTGTGGGAGCATTTTTTAAAATAAGTTTAATTTGCTCTGCACTATAATGATAAAAAGACACCCTTTTAGACAATAGAATTACATTTTGAACAACAAATAATGGTAGATTTATTAGTGTTTTCTTTTAGTCTCACTTCTAGTTCTGGTCAGTCAGTATCTTATTTCAAATCAGTATCGATTCCAGGTTTAGTATCGATTAGTAGATTTTTTGACAACTCTATGAACCCTATAAACCCTCTCCCTCTCCTGGTGCTGTACTAAAATATAGTTATAATTTCATTAAAGGTGTAACTTATAAATATCTATTCCAAATATGTCTATAGGGTTTTGTCTTTGGATGCTGAGAGAGAGATAGCTGCTCTGAATCTTATAGCGGGGGACAGGAGGGACATTTTAATTTCCCTGTGTTTTGAACTGACTGACCTTTTCAAACCCATCTCTAAGGAGCCAGAGCGAGACTGATTTTATGTGGCAGGTTTTTTATATCAGCATCAAGCATCTGCAGAGGACGACTCCGGGGAGAGCACACTGTTTAACAAAAGGAAAGATAGCATCAGAGTGGGTAGCAATGAATCACATTTACTTTAATATATTTTTGTATAAATTTAGTACAGTTTCCATATTATGTATTCTCTCTGCATTACCTCTCTGCATAGCATCCTGGAAGAGCTAGCTATTTATAATGGCTGGTATCAGTGATTTTTGTTCTGATCCAAAAACTATGGCAAGTATCATGATATCAATTCAATATGAACTCCTTTAGTATAAAGAATTTTCCCTTTGCACAATGCTTGCTCCACCCCATCTTTAATTGATGGTGCAGACAAACTAGTAATATTGTATTTTTAAAATGTATACAAATAATTATAGAAAAACAACTGTGAGAAATTTTAAGTGTCAATATTTTTGCTTGGGAATCAATACTTTCCAATACCTGAGAGAAGATTTTTGACATTATATTTTTGTTAGTCTAAAACTAAATATGACAAAATATGACAACATATTTGATAGTATAGTAGTAATAGTATTCATTATAGCAATTGGAGTATTTTTAATACAAAATACTTGCTTGAGTAAATTTTCAGATGGCAGTGTTATTTCACTAATTATTTGTCTGTATTTTTAAAGGTGAATTATGCACCTTTTTTGATGGGGATCTCTACTTACTTGTCTCCATGGAGATGTTACAGCTTTACATGGAAAGTTCCAGAGAAGGGCATTACACTTATTTGTCTTGTCTTATCGTGTCTTGTCTTGTCTTATCGTGAAATGCATGCATTCTTACTGCTATTGGGCTTGTCTCTCTATACATATGACCTGTAACTTATCTTGGACATCTCCATGGAGACAAGCAGGCGGCAGACCCATGACTAAAAAAGTTACACAGTGCACCTTTATGTTAGAAAATAAAAGAGTGAAAAATATGTAAGGCACGGAAAGGTGGTCTAAAAATTCTAAATAATGTATAATGGAAAATGGAAATAAATATTGTATGACTATTTGTGAGTACAGGTAGCTTCTTTTTTTGTTGTTTTTTAACACAAAAATTAAGACAGAAAACAGATAGATGCTGATGGAGAGAACCAGGATGGAAAAATGAAAGGCAGGAAATAGCATCACACAGCGAGGTCATGTAAAGTTCATCTGAGAGAGGGAGAAAGAGAGGGAGGCTAGAGAGAGAGGAGAGTAAGAGAGAGTGGGATAGAGAGGAGAGAGGGAGGGATGACAGAGAGCGAGAGAGACAGAGAGAGGAAAGAGTGAGAGTGAGGAAAAAGAGAGAGATAGAGAGAGGGCAGGATGGGGAGGGAGAGAGAAAGAGGGGGGAGAGGCAGACAGAGAGAGAGGAAAGGGAGAGTGAGAAAGAAAAGAGAGATAGAGGGAGGGCAGGAGAGAAAGAGAGAGAAAGAAAGGGTGAGAGAGAGACAGAGAGCAAGAGAGAGAATAAGGAGGGAGAGGGAGAAAGAAGAGGAAGATAGAGAGAGGACAGGAGAGACAGAGAAAGAGGGGGCGAGAGGCAGACAGACAGAGAGAGCAGAAAATGAAGAATGAAAAAGAAGAGAGAGATAGAGGACGGGAGGGAGAGAGCACGAGAGAGGGGGAGATAGAATGTGATTACATGCCTCTATAATGATAGGTTCCTCTGGGAGTGACTTATTACAAACAGTTATTAAACACAAACACAACAGCACAAGGGCAATAAGGAAATATGAGATCCAGTCAAAAAGGCCTCGTAAAAGCCACAGAGTCACAAAACAGCTGTAATTGAAATAATGTAATATATGTTAATTCCCATACAGTGGAGCGCGCCAGGAAAAGCAACAAAATCTCCATGGAGACAAGTAGGTGGCAGATCCCCCACAAAAAAGTTACATCTTTAAAGGCCCATCGTCGGATTTTTACTGTCTTAAAAATGTGAAAAACAGGACTAGTTCATTTTAAACGATCCAAAGTTATTCCTCACATATGCATTCTGGGCATTCTAATTAATCTCCACAATGAGTTTATAAGTGCATTCCACAACTTTCAGAGACCAGTGCAGAGGTTTGTCATCAAGGTAATCCTAACAACAAAACCGCACACTTCCTGATTCTTACACAAACATTTTATAATTAGACACAGACACAGCAGACTTATTTTTAGCTTTTAGCTGTTTGTACAATACTACTGGGGCAAGACAAATACATGGAAGAACAAAGGTACAGGCCATTTAACAACTTGTGGATCAAAAATTTGTCAAAATATACAATCAGTACAAATTTAGAAAGTCATAGCAAATTACAAAAAATGACAAATTTCTGGGCACATTTTTTTCAGTACCAGTTCCAGTCAGTGGAAAATGTAAGAACACACAAATTCTTCAATATAATTATGATTTCCTGTCTTAAAAGTGTACTGTGGAACTTTATGGTGCAGGGTGTGTTACCTGCTTGTCTCCATGGAAATGATAATGTTTGCCTTAAATGTTCCACAATATGACGTTAAACTTATCTCCCTCCATGGAAACAAACAGGTAAAGTCACCAGGCAACCAAGTTACAGGTCAGATCTGTACGCCAAACCATTATTCAAGGAATCTGGGTTTTCAAACTTGTTCTCCTTATGGACTTCTTAGGGCTTCGCAAGAGTTTTTCCACAAACTTTCTCGACCTTTCCTTCTGATGTTGATGATTGTCTACCATATCTTTTAGCCCTACATAAAAATCCTATTTAAATTTTTGGCACCAAGTTCAAATTTGTTTGCCAGTTGGTGAAGTTTTTCAAAATTTTGCATTGAAGGCTGCACAGTCTTGGACGACTGTGCGAGTA